CTTCCTGTCATACTTCATTTTTTAAACGGATAACTACTCAACGGCAATTCTTTGAAACTGCCGTGATTTTTCTTCTCTGTGCGAAGAAAATTCTGCAAAAACTTCAACGAATGATGTCAACTTGTTTTTCTTTAAAAAAAAATAATAGAGAGGTGAAGACTTTCAAACACAGCAAACGAGACACGTGGTTGCGGACTTACGCCGTCGAGATATTTTAAAGCTGTATAGAGCTCAGACTTATTTTGAAAAAGAAAATTTATTTTTAAGTAACACACATTAAAGCGTTATAGTGATTCATGTCCTTTATACTATCTAGAGATTAGTGGGACTTTTACAGACAGTGCCGAACGATTTTGAGTGAACGGCAAAACTTCATAGCCAAGCAGCGGATTATTTTACCTACACTGGAAAAAAAACACATTGGATCTAGAGTCCAGATTCTTGAAAAACATTGACAAGAAAAAATACTCTTGATTCAATCGGATTTTTGCTTGAATTATAACGAAATCCGCTTAAATTAAGAGGCTTGGTTCTTGATTTAAGCTAGATTCTGATTGAATCAAGAGTACTTTTTCTTGTCGATGTTTTTAAGAGTCTGGACTCTAGATCCAGTGTATGGTGCAACATATTTCCAGGTTTTCCAAACCGTGGAGAAGTTTTTTAAGAGCGCGAAGTGTCCAATGGGGGCTGGGCCACGAGGAGGCCTGAAGGAGGCCCCCTTGTAATTATTTAATATCATTAATCAAAAGACGCCAAATCATGCACGGCAGTGACGAAATGCTCTGTCAATTTTGCCGAAGTCACAGATTAGAATCATAGGCAAACACCGAACGCCCGAGCGTTTATCTTGAGATGCATGTGTTAGCGCGGACCCGGGTCTACCGCTTGGACCTTTTAATAACACTTCGCAATGTTTCAATTTGTAGTCGGTAATGAGGCAATAATTACGAGCTCCCGCATAGGAAACACTGTTGCCATACTGGCGTTAAATGAAATTTACTCGATTGAGACAACGCCATATTATTATATCAGCCATTTGGGTCGACACTCTGGGGGTCAAATACTTTCTGTCCTTCCACTGGTGGCTAAATATATTTGGACGAGTTCCGACTGCTGTTTGATTGGCCGTTAGTGCGGCTTGGACTCAGCGAGGAATATTGGACTTTCGTGTAGGTAAGGGTGCTGGGAGTCGGCATAATTCAAACCAAGAACCCTGGATGGCGATCTTTTCACCCAGTGCTGCTGTTTGAAATTTCAAAAAGCACCAAAAAATCCGCTGAAAAACCGTAGAAAATTTTTGATTTTGAAAAACTGACCAATAATCTCAAAATTATCCGCATTAAATACCACAAATACACTAAAAATCCGCGTTTCTCAGAAATATTCGCACTTAGCGTGCACTTTAAAAAGATTTGCAAATTGTCTACAATCCTAAATATACACTTTAATTGTGTAAAATTATCTGCAAAATTGATTGCACGAGATTTTACGGAGCTAACGGCCAAATGGAGACTTAAAATTACGCCTAGATGCAACTATTTGTACTCCTGGGACGTTCATGTTCCATACGAACAAATTTAAAGGTGGCATCATCTTCCTTGCCTGTATTTTTGATTGCTGAGCTATCGCAGACACCAAGACGTACAAAATGACACATAGATGCAACTATTCGCACTCTCAGGACGTTCGTATTGCATATGTACAATATTGAAGGCGTTCTCGCCTGCTAGTTCTCTCTTACGCACCGAGATATTGGGAAGCGAAATCAATTCGGGAGTCTTTGTGGACTAAGTGACTGAGGCCTTTCCTTTTCCATGAACGGTCACTTTTCAGCACTTATCGGTAACGGATTTTTGTGCGTTTTATACTACGGTGCAGCGTTAGTTTAACGTGACTGTATTAGTGGCTGGGGTGGCGGTGATATGTATAGAATCGGCCGCATCAAAAAACATGTTGTTATAAACATAAAATTAACCAGATATTCCATTTTACTGAACCCTCCAAAGAATATCCTCAAATATCCGCAGAATGGCCCGCAAACTCTACGGGTAGAATTTCCCGCGTTGTTTGCCAATAGCATTCTCTGCAATTTGGCATCACGGGCTCTGGGCACTTTACCCCTTGGGACCCNCCCCCCCCCCCCCCCCCCGCTTGAGTGCGAAGTGCTCCTCTCCCTATAGGCAAAAACAGCAGATATGTAGAGACACTCAAGTCGAAATAAGCTTTTCTTGATCAACTAAGCAGTGTTTGTTTTTGTACAGTACATGATTGGAAATTTTATCACGGCGAATCTCGTATAGCAGCGTTTCAATTGAAAGAAACTCGACGATGGACCCATGAGTTACTGTATCGAATTTTCTTCTTGTTTTACATCATTTGGGGACAGTATTCATGGTCTTTTTCGAAATACATTTTTCCTGAGGGAGTCCCTTATGGTTTACGTATTTATCAGGTGAGGTTTAAGGAGGCAAGGTAAGTGATACGAAGGTAGGGTCTGCCCAAGAATATCTTTATTGGGAGAGTATTGCGTGGACACTGAGTGAATTGAGTGTTTTGGAGATCCTTCAGGATCCAAAAAGTACGGGGTTGTTGCCAACCTTTGACGATAATCACCTGCTGCACCTGTTTACAGCTGTGTCCCCAGAGTTAAGAAATTTCGTGAAAGATTATAAGAAGAAATTTCATGAGGAAATTTCAAGAGATTTCATGAGAAAATTTCAAGAGATTTCATGAGGAAATTTCAAGAAATTTCATGAAATTTAAGAGATTTCATGGGGAAAAAATAAATTTCACGAAATTTCATTCAATGAAATTTCTTTTAGCAACTCTGTGTGTCACTCAAAGAAGCAATTTCTTTCAACGGTAATGCACAAAATTGGTTTAAAAAATTATTGGCGTACCGATTGTAATGATCAATCGCTCTGAATGATTTGAATTCTTAGGTTGGCTGCTCTTTTTGGCCCACAGATCTCGCTACATGAATCAAATTCCGAACCAATTCTAATCAAAGTAGACCTGTTGATGACTGATGGTCACAATGGTTACATTGTGACAATCCTCTTTGATCAAAATTGGACTGCCGGACGAAACTTTTCTGCTGAGTTTTCATTTTATAACTAAGCGAAGTAACTATTTTAAGACTGATGACTCCCGGCTTTTTGATGGTAATTTAATAGTCTACCGAGACCTTAACTCTATTTGCGGGAGGCATCGGTAAAGGGCTGATAGATTTTCGGAGTTTCACACCTGTCTACACTCTCGCTATGTAAGTGCCCTATTCTGTGCATAAAAGCACTCCAGCGTCCGCACGAGACATTCTGCGCTGCGTGCAGGAAACAGCACCATTTTCTCGCAGTTGGTAAGTAGGGTCACTTGGAAGGGCAGGTAATTTGTAAAATTGAGCCGGATTTGTAAACGAGAGGCACACTTCGTCGCTTGACTGACGAAAGGGCGTAACTACAAATTTAGATGAGCCCGGAGAGGCATCGAATTGAATGGAGGACAGGGTTCACTGCAGAGTGTGGTTATACCCTTATGTCAGGTGAGCGACGACTTGTAAACAGCCCCAGCGCGTGAGTGGCAAGATCGCCGCGTCGAGTCGTGAGAAACCAGTGACACACATTTGGTGTCTGAAACCTGGGCTTTGTCTTTCGGCAAGCAGATGCACCAGCCGCACTAATAATTGTGAGTGCGTTTCGCGCCCTCGCCGCCAGATCGCGCTCAAGATTTTAGAAAAAGGTGCAACTAATTTGGAGATTCACCCACGATCTGGTGTTTGGTCTGCGAAGGAACGACGCCATATCGGGAAACGGTGAGCGACGCTCCTTATAACTCATTGAAGAAACTCCGTCTTTTGTTGGGGTCCTCTCGAGGCAAGGGCACTCGTGCTAAGCTCTTCGAGAGGGCAGCAATCTTGAGGCAGGTTTGACTTTATGCCGCTTAAGGTGCTATGTACTGGTGCAGTCGAGGTAGCGTGCGATATATCGCATCGGGTAAGTAAAAATCTAGGTACACTATAATTTTTAAGCCATAGAAGGGCCGATGACCCCAACGCAAGAGTCTCCCGAATACTTTTTGACAAAGAAATTGCAAAATTGGGAAAAATTAAAGCAGAATTTGACAATATGACAAAAACGTTGCATTCGTTACAAAAATCGTGCGCGGTATCAAATTCAATGTTTATTTTTATAAAAAAAACTTTGCAGCTGAATTATGTTTTCATTCCGCAAAATTTTGCACTTTTTTTGTTCAGGATGAATAGGTGGACTCACACGCTTGGGGTATGCTCCTTTTTTTTCATGCTAAAAAGTCTGAATCTATCAAGATTACTGACTTAAATGATGCAGTATATCATACAAACATTGGCTGATTATTGAAACTGATAGACAAAGCTATAGACAAAATAAAACAGGGAAGAAAAACGATCCTTTGATGACAGCTGAAGGTTTACAACGGACAAGGTAATTAATAGACTAACAAACAACGGTAACATACGAGGAACCCTATAGTCAGTCCATCATATCGCCCCTTAGTATACAGCAACCAGACTTTTCAACCAATAGGATGACTTATTTTCTCTTGTCTTCATTGTCTGTAGCTTGACTTTCAATATCAAGAATCAGCATGCAATTCAATTGCGCCTAGAGCCCCGTACGAATCACCTCAAGTTTTGACAGCCATTTAAAACTTAATGGAGCGGGATCTGATAAGAAATTCTAGGTGTATTTTGAGTCGAGGAATCAAGAAAGAGATGTCTTATTTTCAGGAAATTTTAATCCAAAAATATAGCGCCTGCTTTATTAATTCTCTGTGCAATTTTGACCAAACACAATTACAATTTTTAATACTTGTAAATCACACAATCGTTTTCCTCATACTTTTCAGTGCTTTCTCCTGATTTTCTGCCTGCTTTTTTCAGTAGGTATACCTATTACCATTAGTTCAATATTATCAAATGTTCAGTTTCCTTATAAACGAGTACTGAAAATGTTTATACTTACGTAAAGTTGCTATAATCCTCTTCATTTTCTGGGGTTTGAGATCTGGAAAATAAGAAACAGAGAAAATGCTGTTAAAACTTAAACGTATAAAATGAGAACTTGATGGCAAAATTAAACATATCAAAACTCTACAGAATTGACGGAAAGATTTCCTTGCGTCAGTTTTGTCATGAGGAACTAGGAACTGGACTGTAGCATTTTACTATACGCATCTATAGGAAGCTCATATTAAGAAAGGTGTCGTATTTCCTTCACAGTTTCACTATAATAAAAGAGATAATTCTATACATTTTTATAACATGTGCACAGATATATCGGCAATATTTTTCTTGGAAATTTTAATCCGTTTTTAGTTACGTTTTTCTCCTGCTTTTTTTATATTTATTGCGTATTATACAATAACATATGCAGACTCAGATAGGTCTACATACAATTGCGTTTAACTTTTAATGCATTTACAATTATTTACAGATACTTTTAATTGATTAAAACTGATGTAAGAATTGGACTTTCTCTCCCCTTCATGCAATTGGCAAGCGTTCATTGTTCATTTCTCCACGGCCAAGTTTCGCTATGTCTTGCCATTCGATACATTTGAAGATCATTTCTCGCATAAATAAGACGATGGTCGGGGTTGGCGCCCTGTGTGAAAATCCGCGCGTGCTCGAAAAAGAGCGTCCGTTGGGAATCGATTGTGCAAGTTCTGGGTCAGTGTTAAAACCGCATCGTCTCTGCACTTTTAGGTGAGCCACTAATTCACCCGTTGCCACTTCTGTCAACTATGCGCGGCTATAATTAGTCGTTTCCCAGTCGAAAGGACGCATCTCCGTTCCGAGGTTGTAAAATTGACTCAAATATTTCTTTCTTTTACGTGAGTATGAGTGTGGAAGTCAGAGACGTGCGTGCTTTGCGATATATCGAATGATACACCACTCAAACCTATGAAAAAAATAGATTATCAGAGTGTTCGCAGCAGGCACCTCAGTAATCAATTCTTTACCGTAGCTTCAAATGGCGAGGTATCGATACTCGATCATTCACGCCACACCACCGGTGGAAGTTTTGTCTAAAATCTCTGTGATTCTCACGCGTGGAATTTGGAAATCGAGCAGCGAAATTTTAGGTCAGAAATGCGTAAAGTGTGTAAAAACGAGTAAAAATTCAATTTACAAATGGGGATATTGCAACGGTAAATTGCGGTTATATCATTTTATCTTGAGAACGACGAATTTGAGCAAATGAGGCATGAGTTGAAATAAAGCGGCTACGTGCATATCGACAGCGAAATTGTAAAATCGCGTAACGCGTTTGAGGTGTTACTCGCCACAGAAGAGAAAACCAACACTATTTTCTAAAATTTTCACAGAATGTTTCTTATGCAGAAAGGAAAAATCAGATTCTTCCAGTCATGAAGTTAAGTTTTCTTTCGTTTAAAAAATAACTGATGACAGTATAGTTCAACAGCGCCGCTGTCAGAGTAAGTATTTTAGCAGTTTCGCATTTTTTAAATTTTTTTTTCAATTTTTTAGGTATTGAGAAGATCATCAGCCGAGATGTTCACAAAGCTATTTTTCGTTCTTGTTATTTTATTTTTTATTTTCTTGAATTTACGGATATCTTAACCTTTTTAATGTCATATGAAAAGCAATGTGAAGTAAAATTCGACGGAACTTCAATAGTAATATTGTTTAGATTGCGCAGATTTTTTTTTTAAATTTTTAACTTTTAGAAAGTACATATGGACGTAAATAAATGAGAAATTTTATAAAATTTTTGTATACATTCATGATTTCATTCTTTACTTTTACCTTTCCATTTATTTGTCCTCAACAAGAACTTTGCAATGATCGTTCAAAGAAATGCTACGAATATAACCTGGTTCTCGGCTCAGTAAAGAAGAGAGCCTCATTGAGGTAAGCTTTAATAATGTCATTAAATGTAGCTCAAAATGAGATTTCGCAACGCTGAAAAATCTAGTTGCGCACTTAATGTGTGAACATTAGCCGGCTTACTCGTACACTGAAAAAAAAGTGGAAGTGGGATTGACCATAATGGTATAGTAAAAAAAATATGGTGATAAAAAGCCAAATAATGGTCGATTTAAGCATCTAGATGAAAGTGAGAATCATACTCGATATAAAAATTACCATACCCGGATTGTAAATATCAGTTAGGTGTGTCTGTCCATCGTTTAGGTATTTCTCACCATCAGCTGGGTATTTTTTACCATACGATGAGTTAAAAGTATGGAATAACATGGTAACACTTGCGTTTGATATCTGTAGGCATCTGTATGCGACTGGTCATGGTGTTGGTAGGTTAAATTTACCATACTGGTATAGTCAGCGTGGTGAGAGCTCCCGCTTGACTGCGCTGCGGTCTGTGGTCCGCCATTTTTCGTTTGTCTGTTTGTCAGTTATAAATTTATCACGTTGAGGGTCGGAGTCCGTGGCTGTGTTTTATTGATCCATATTAATCCATGTGAATCCACGCGTAATTTGCCCAAATTTGTGTTCGAATTGTCCCTAAAGCTACCGTCTTCTCTTCGAATCTATCTATATTGATCTGCCACATACATTTTCTGAGATTTTTTCGTTATTCGTATCGACCAATTTCTGGAGGTTAGGGGTTGCTACAATGAATCTGGCTTGCAAAGTGAAGGAATCCTGAAAATTTGAAAACCTTCGCAAAGTTGTTCTGCAATCCAGTGAATATCGGTTCTGTGTAAAGTCATTTCGAAAACATAAAAGTGCGGAAGTAATTTGAAAATAATCGACTAGAAGTGATTTTTGAATACTTCGTTCGTAGGTTTATCTATATTCTTGTTAAAATTTTCGAAGCTCAACATACTCAGATGAAGAGACAAATGTGCGTGGGATTGATGTTTAACTGTAACTTTAAGCAAAATTTGGCAGCTTCTGCCCCACCGTGAACCGTGCGATTGGATTTTCATGTAGTGTCTTTTTGTGGGTATATTTTGAACCATCTATTTATTATATGCAATTAAATTTTCCGTGGATCTGATTTAGTCTGTAAATGATACCTTAACGCGAATAACAAGTATGGTTTTGGTATCATTTACTTGAAATCAGTGAAGCAATTATCTGCTATTTCTCGTTGAAACTGTCTTTAACTGCCATTGATTGTGTATGTAAGGGGAATTTCTAAAAGTAAGATGTAAGTAAAATATCCACGACTTTCATCAAAAGCATTTAATAATATAAGATGAGTGGATTTTAGAATCTACAAGGTTTGTCGCAGCATCTGGATGCTTGAAATTACCATACTACTCAGTCGGGAACGCCACACTGGCACTGTGTCGCATAGTGTCAGCCGTATCGTGTTATTTACCATACCGGTATATTGGTAACTATGCTGCAGCTTCACTGTGTAAAAAATCAAGTAGACAGTATGGTAAATAACACCCAAACTCTGGTAAATCCCACCGATTATTTTTTTCAGTGTAAAATCCTGAGCAAGTCAACTAGCGTGGGTCTCCACCAGACCGACGACAAAAAAAAGAAGAAAACACGAGACCGAGGCATCAGGCGACCAAATTTGGCAACACCAGGCCACACTTTGGACATACGATTGTGAATAGTCCCAGAACAGAGGTATAGAGTTTCAGCCGTTGAGACGTAAGTAGGTGCAAATGGTTGCATCGGTGACTTCCTGACCCCGGGTGCCGCGCACTGCACCACAGACCGCTAATCGCCCAATTGAGACGTGTAGTTTTAAGCATGCGAAACTATTTGCACAGACGACCCCGGCCGTTGGGCGCCATTTTCGAAATTTCAGGTCCTTTGTGCTCGCAAGCCGGCCGCAGTGACAACAGACAACACTTATACCAAACTCCTCGTAATTACTATCGTTGTGTGCGGGCTCGCGGGGGCACGTAGCTTCAAATGGTGTCATGGATGTTCATGGTATTGAGGACTAAAAGTGTTTCTTAATTTCTGTGCTTTGCTCAATTTACGGTAAAATAATTACCAACTTTAACTGTTGAATCTTCCTTTTCATACAGAAAAAAAGTTTCATGCGTTACGTTTACCGAGTCGTTATTGAGTTTACGTTGCTTCTGCCATGAGCCGATAAATGCAGTTTATCTTTATAATGATGACAACTGTAAACAACAATTATTAGTAAACTCGAAGTAAAAGTAGGCATCTGGAAATTTGCTTTAGTGATGGGCTCAAAATCTTTCATAAATTCTGATTGCGAACTTAAGGAAGACTCTCGTAACTCAAGTGTGATAATTCACATTGTCTTTTCACATTGTCATGGCCTCAAATTATTTAATTGATAACGAGAACGTCCTCTTTTCTTACTAAGCGTAGGTCATCAAATACAAGTGAGCTGTTTTTTATATGCCTAACTAGAGCCTAACTTAATTCATTTTGCTTAATTTCCTCTCATGTTTCATACTTTTGACAGAAAACAAAACAAATGATTTACGGCATTGACATTTTCTGCGTATTTTCCCAAATCATACAGAGTATACACAGACAATGTTAAGTCAGGATCTATAGTTTTGCTTCCCGTTAAAAAAATAAAAAGTAGAGAAAATGAAATACTAAATCCCATTAAATCCAACGAAAATCGAGAAAATTGCGTTGCTCTACTTTTCTATGTTTGCGTTAAAGTCTCCTCGAGTACGCATATCACCATATTATACGATTATACGATAATAATCCCGGGGATTTTTGAACACATCTCCTCAAATACAATAATTATCAATTGACTATCAAATAGGACTTGCAAGCTCTGGGGGATGATTATTGAACTTAATAGACAAAGCTATAGACAAAAAAAGACAAAGGGAAAATGTGGCGAACCTATGTTGGTTGAAACGGCTGGTGGTTACAGACTTTGGTAGAAAATGATGGACCAACTAAAGGGTCTTTCGTCGATTGCCGTTTGTTAGTCTATCACTTACCTCTTTTGTGTTCGTCCATTGCCACCGCTTGTTTCTTCCACCAATAAAATCGCTCTATTTTCTTTTTGTCTCCTCTGTCTATCAATTTCAACAATCAGCCCGATAA